AAAAAAAAAAAAAAAAAAAAACGAATACTCTGGCATAACGCATATTTTCACTACTCAACATATTAATTTTTCCTTCCATTCCTCGGCCCTCACTCCACGATTGTCTAAAAAATTGAGGGAAAGTAAGTCGGTAAAGAGAAAAAAGCAAATGGTTAATTAGAAGTTGAATTATAAATCTAGTAGCCCAAAAGGGGTAAGAATGTACAACACTAATCTTTTCCATTATCCTGAAAGAAAGCAGAGTGAGCTATGCATATACATCTATCTGTGCATACTTCTAAATTTTCTCTTGATCGACTGCAGTAGAGTCTCACTCTAGAGGACAAAATTTGAAAGAGACCGTGCCGTGTACATTCAACACCCGAATGTGTCTACCCTTGTAATCTTCAACCTCTTTACCGTGGACAAGAACATCCTACACCATCAAACGACCAACCACATTAATTATTGCACAAAATGAAAGATATAATACACTTGTTTTGCTTCTCAGAAACTAAAAAGAGTCAATTAACTTACTCCCAAGGGACATCACCAACCATGACCAAATCCCCTTCTTCATCTTCATAAGTTAGCACATGGCATCTCTCGGGTTGCACTCCATTCATCTCTGTCCCCCCTGTTAGCACAACATTAACACTGTGAGAGCATGTTGCAATAGAATGTATGAAAAGAAAAAAAAGAGCATGGCAATAGACTTTACAAAGAATGGTAGTGTCGAACATGTGTTCAAGAGTCTTCACTAACTCATAGTAGCTTCCATGAGCTAGTATATTGAGCTTTCTTCCAATTGGAATGCCTTCCATGTAGACCTTGACAAAGAAGCTGGTATGATCGTTGCAATCATTGACTTCATGAGCACCTTGTGGGTGCCCCCTACATCATTAAATCCAACATAACATAAGTGTTGATCGAGAGCATGCACAAGACAAGGACAAGGACTAGGAGTAGAAATAGAAACCTTGAGACATGTTGAGCGGCGGAAATGCTGAGACCAAGGCTGAGATCAGTGGGAAGGTGTTGAGTGAGAGATGATGCGGTTGAAATGAGAAGGTGACGGTTGGTGGTGCTGCTAATAGAGGAGGAAGAAGAGCTAGCGGCTTTGCCCATTGTGGAAGGAATATGAATGATGAATGTGACACAGCAATTAGCCGCCACTACCTTGAGGGCTTAAATAAAGCAAGAAAGAGACGATGGTCCTATTCTACGAATCAAGACTTCCTCTGCTACAGCGCCACTTTTTCTGTTTTCCATGTATATGCTTCACCTCAAATGTTGTCATGCTAGCCGACAACTACACGTGTCACTAACAAAAATCCAACATGGCATCTGCACAGTGACGTGTGTTTATTCCATTCAAAATTTTCATTTGATACATAATTAAGCATATGATCAAGTGTTTTTGAACAAGAGTGGTGGTGGTCAGAAAAGGAGTTAGAGGGAATGAACATAGAGTTGCGACAATTGATGGGGGGTGGACAAGAGAACATCGATATCTGAAACCTTGTACATATCCATTAATCAATGTTCAATGGATATAATCATCGTGTTGCGCATGAGGGAGAGAGAAAATAGTATAAAGGCATCGGAACTGGTGACGGTACAACAAGTGCTGTGTGCTCAGAAACATATTGATGTACTTCCTTGAAACGCTCTCTCAACAGCAGAAAACCCATCAACGACATCACAACATACTTATGAACAGAAGTTGTGCGCATTTATTACCGCTGCCAGACAACTCTCCTCTCCTTTCCTTTTCAACAACAACACTCTTAAACTTCTACCATCTTTTATTCAATTAAATATTTATTTTATTCTAAATATAAACACACTTCTATTTCATTTTTTAAATTTCAGAATATTTATATACTACCTAATGCAACACACAACTCATAACTCATTAAACTTCTTCACTTCTATTAAATTTACGATTCAATTCAATTTTTTTTATTTTATATCTTTCTATGTAATTTTTACTGAAAAATAAAGTATATGATATGTAATTTCACAACAACAAAAAATTAACTCTAATCTCATATGAGATCATTTTTTATTCTAATTTAAACTTTTATATATACCAAATAAAAAAAACACTAACATAGCTTATCAAATATATTTTAAAATTTTTAATATTATCTTTTAATATAAAAAATGAAGAAGAGAGATTGTTAAGATACAAACAAGTTCTACATCGATAAAATAAGATAAAAAATAATAACTTATAGAGCACAAACATACTTCAATGTTAGATATGCCTTTTGGGTGATGATCAAAACGGACAATATCTCATCATTATGGAGTATGTTTGTGTAATAACCTTATAAAAAATAACCTTCATAACATAATCCCCTCAGACAAATACCAATAAAATAACTCCAAATCTGATATTAGAGCCGCAAGGTTGGATGCGATAACAACCCTCATAACCCCTCATAACTCATAACATATAATGTGATATATAAAGAAAGATTTCGCTGCATAAAAGGTTAGGTCGTCGTTTGAGAGAAAAATTGTTGGGATACAAACAAGTCCCACATCGATAAAATAAGACAAGAAATAATAACTTATAGAGCACAAACATACTTCAATATTATATATGCCTTTTTGGTGATGATCAAAAGCAAACCTGTGAAGACTTAAGCTCAAAATGGACAATATTTCATCATTGTAGAATATATTTGTGTAATAACCTTATAAAAAATAACCTCCATAACATAATCCCCTCAGACAAATACCAATAAAATAACCCCAACAAAATATTATCGAAATCTCATTATTAGACATGATATGTTAAACTAAGATAATAGGCAACTTACGTCTATATTAACCAAATTATTAAAATTAATATAATGATGCAAATTATAATAACATATATAAAATCATAAATTAAAATATTATTGTTATTATTACAGTTCATTCAATTGAAAAAATCAATAGATTAAGAGAAATTATATTAAAATTTGAATTTTTTTTATAAAAGAAATTAAATTTAAGTCTGAGTTCAATTCCATCCTATAATATAGGTTTTAAAATAATAGTATGTATTCCACTTATACTCTTATACATTGTTTTGGCTTTAATTTTGTTGATATGGGAGTTAGATTTTTTTTCAATAATTATTTATAAAATATTATAACGATAGATACATTTTTAATAAATATGATAAAAGTATGTATTAATGAATGTAAAAATAATAAATATTAAATAATTATTTGTAAAGTTAATGCATCGAATGATTCACTTATATTTTTGCTCTTTAAAGCAAAACCCCCATAAGTACTCCTTTCTTTTTTCAAATAAATGTATTTTTAAAAAAAGGGCTGCGCTGCAGAAAATTCATATATACTTGTCTTCCTTGTCTCAAACTCATTTATTAAAACTTATAAAAATTGCCCTTCTTTATATTATAAATTTGATTTTTCTTTCTTGAGAATAAAAAGAATAAAACAATCTTATATAAGTTTTTTTTTATTCTATCATAGTCATACATCGATCTCTCACATTTTATAATAGTATATATATTGTAAACTTTCATATCAAATTATATAATATTTTAATCCTTAAATAATTATTTTCTTATTTTTTCTACCTTTCTGAATTTGCTTAATTATTTTTTTAAAATTTCTTCAATCAGTACTAGCCATGCATAATAAAAACAGTAACGTAATCTTCTATTTTTCAATTTTCAATTTTTCAAAAATAATTAAAACGTGTGCTTTGTTACTCAAAATTATATTTTATTAGTAAATAAAATTTTATTAATAAAATCAAACTTCTCTTAAATATTCTGAATTTGAGTTTAATAGGCGTGTAAAAAGTTTTATATTATTAATCAATAAAAAAGACCATCATCATTAAATTTATGATAATTATAAAAATCAGTAAATTTATTATATAACGGTTTGTAATTAAATAATTGTATAAAAGAATGCTATTTTTTCATTTAAAATTTTAAAAAGTATTTATGTAATATAATTGATACATGTAAAAGTTACTTAGTAGGAAATATTTTATCAAAATAAAAGTTACTTAAATTTCTTTCAATTCACAGATGAAAAATATTTATTTAAAATTGCTTTAGCTGATATTTTTAACGTGATGTTAGATAGTTGAAAATAAATTCAAACGTGTAACTATGTTGTTTTAGAGAATAATTTTATCATTTAATATACTATTTTTCAATGAGATTCTTTTGGCTTGTATTTTGTACATTTACTTTATAGTATTAATGGTAGGTTTATCTCTATTTTTTTTAAAAAAATTTAGTTAGGTTTCTATACTTGAAAAATTACAATAGGGTCACTGATTTTTTTTTTGTACATTTTGTAATTGAACTCCTGTAATTAATTTGTAGCGATTTTAAAATATGAGCAAAGTAATAATTTGTCTGGTAATATATTAAAGCATTTATGGTATTTTCAGCAAAACTGAAAAATAAAAATTTATAGCATAACGCGAATATTTAAATTGAGATTGAAATTATATATATAGATAGGAGGAAGTAGTAATAAATAGGGCACAGTGACATTGCAGAAAAAGAAAAAGATGTTATGAATGGGAGGGAGCAAGGCATAAGAAGAAAGAGTGACAACTGTCGAACAACGAGACAAGTGTGAATCTATTAATCACTTTTTAAAATCCTAAAATCATACTTAGCTCCTCTCTGAGGGACACAAAATCAACCTTATTTTTTCTTTGTTCACACAAACAAAACAACCCTCATATACTATTCTTCGTTTCCTCTCTACGTGTAACATTTCACGGTTCCAACGCACTTTTCGCCTCCCTTCGCTCTCAGCCATAAAGCGGGAACAATAACTTGTATGCTTCCATCTCAAGAAACGGCCAATACTACCTATTCAATCAGAAAAAATAAAAATAAAAATATTTAATCTATAATTGGATACTAATTTCTTTCAAAATTATTAATCATGAAAATAAGTTTTGTCTGTGGTGATAAAATTTTCTCAGAGATGATGGGGTTGTTAAAAATTATGAAAATTATAATGGATATGTTTTGTTTGTTATATATAATCTTTGTCGATATTAGTAATAAAAAGAAAGAAGAAGAAAAGGTAAAATGTCCCCCGCCACCCCAACCATAACTCCATAAGGTTGCTTTCATTAGCCATCAAATTGTCATTTGGTCGAAGCTTAGAAAAGCAGCGTGTAACCTACATTTCCCTTTTCTTAAATAGCTGGAGTAAATGTGTCACGCCATGTTAAGACCAAATCCTTCAATTTCTTTATGTTTCTCTTCTTCCCTTCTCATTCTTACTAAATGATCCTTTAATTTCATAGTCTCTCCGTACGTAGTCCACTACTTCATCAATAACATTAACGGGGCATGGGGCATGCATGCATCACCTCTTTAAATTTCTATTTTTCTTTCCCAGTGTAAGGACTGTTGGTTGCTTCATCGGAAACTACTCATTTCATACACTCTTGTTCATTAATTTTTTCTTACATAGACATTACATGGAAGATCCAATTAAAATGTAAATCATGTTGCATACAGAGAACGCCATTACACTTTTATAAACTCAAATTCAGACTTTGATTAAATTAGAACGCCTACCAGCTTATTCAAGCATGGAAGATTTGAGAAAATTTAACCTTCTGTATTAAGGATATTTCCGGGCAATGATAGGAAACTATTTTTTTTAAAATATGAATATTACTAAATAAATTTTGTGTCTTTTAACAAAGTCTTCTTTATACATGCAATTCAAAAATAATCTTTTTTCTTTTCATTTTTAATTTATTGATAATTATAAAAATTTTATTTAAAATATGAATGACACAATTGATATCACAGATCTTATACTAAATAGTAAAGAAGATTATAAATTATAATAAATAATATATATATATATATATATATATATATTATATGTGTCAAGATCTACTGATATCAAATGTCAAAACTTAGAGCTGTCAAAATGGGTTTGGCCCGGTGAGCCAACCCGGCCCACCACGGGTTCGAGCCGGGTTGGGTTGAAAAAAATTTAAAAATTTCAATACGGGTCAAATTTAAACTCGGCTCACTAACAACCCAGCTCACCCGGGTTCAATCCGTGGTGAGAGCCGGGCTGACCCACCAACTCGTGATTACATTTTTTAAAAAAAAATACAATAATTAT